CACACTGACATTCCCTCACTATGTCCCTACATTGTAACACATGGCCAGGACCTTGGTGGCACTGAGATCAGTCAGCTGCAAGAACTGGTTCTTGGACGTGACTCTGGAAATGGACATGTGGCTCTTGTTGGATGGGCTGTCGTATGTGTTATATCTATGATTTATGAACCAATTCACTGCAGATAGTCACCTGGGGTTGGTGGATGCAATTGCACAAGAAATTACTGTTTGAGATGGAGAATCCAGAGATGGTGCTGGTGAGGTTCAAGGTCTGTGAGCTCCTCACCAGTCCTGGGTCTGACTCTTGCAGTGGCACCTGGGACAGGACACATTGGGACAAGGAGACTCAGGCCCTGTCAGTCACAGCAGTCACAACCATACCCATGGTCCCACCTCTGACATCTGAGACCCTCACTTTGTGGAGCTGTCACCAGACACAGAGAAGGCCCTAGATACTAATGTTCTTCCAGATCACAGCTCTTCCTTCCCCCAGAAACCTCACCCTGTCTGAGGAGAGAGCTGTGAGTTCCCACTGCCTGAGAGTACATTTTACCCTGGTTGTTGAGGAGAAGTTTACACATGTGCAAGGGAGCCCATCCTTAGAAGTGGACAGGGAGATAATCAGGCTCCCCTGGACCTTCCAGGACCACCTGTTGTCATCTCTTTGTTGAGCTCACAAGGCATGTTGGTCTGGGTTGGGAAAGCCCTTGGTCTATGAGCTGTGTTGGAAGTAGGTCAATAGATAGCCTCACATTTCTTTTCTAAAGAATAAATGTTGAACAAATGAGTGGATCACAATTTATTTTAACCTAATCTATTTCTCAAAAACATATTTGATAGGATCCACATTTTGTGCAATTTTCCAAATCTAATCTTTAATTACACTCAATATTAACAGTCATTCCAGACATAATTGCATAGAAAAATTACATATAGATGCCAACTCTGGTGTAAATATAATGATAAGTAAAGGGCACTCATTCCCAAGATCATATTTCTCTTAGTTTGCCCACTGACATACTTGACCTTATGTGAACAACTACCTGCACAGCAGAGGCACACCTGGAGACCTTTGATCCTGATGGTCACTGCTGAGGGGCTTTGTCTGCCAAGACATCTGAAAAACCTGAAAGTGGTACCTAGTCCTCAAGTGCACAGACACCAACACAAGGCACCCACCCTGTGGTCTGCAGATACAAGTCCTATGCTTGGAGGGTGCCTCCCTTCTAGGACTATTTCCTACACAATACACAAAAATAAACACTAAATGGATGAAAGACCTGAAAAATCTACCTCAAACAGGAGGCTGTTACCTCTGTGAGGAGGGGCTTGCTTTACAGAAAAGTGGGTAACATTTCTCTGATAAAATGCCTGATCATCACTAACTCAGGCGTGGGGTTAATGACACTTAAATACCACCTTGAAGGAAATGTAATGGCTGACCTAGAGATTATTAGGATCTAAACACAAGAGGTCTAATAAGACATTGCAGAGATTACATTCATGCCCTGAAAGGCTTGTGTCAATAGGATTAATGCTGAGCTAAATGAATAGACTTCAAATAGAGATCAAATGATGAGTTAAGAGATAGATGATAGATGGATATGTAGATAATTTTATATTATTTTAAAAGACACTAAAGTGGAATCCTATCATTATGAACACATAGAATGGAGATATCTTGCCAATATTTAAAACCAATTGCCAATATTTTAAAAATCATATTTTCATACTGAGAGAATATTCTGATGCTAATTTGGCATATGCCAAGTAAGCATTTATTTCTTTTTTTTTTCTAAATAACTACAGCTTACACATAGAGTAGCAGATGCCTCCTTGTAGATATTGGTTTTTGTGTATTTTTTTCCTAAAGATCTGATGCAGATTTTCCCTTATAACATCTCATGGAATATGCTTTTGAAACCTAAGTCATTACATAGACAAAATCACATTTTTAAATGGATAGGAGCTAAAATAAGTTCATTTGTGTTATTCAGCATCTTCCAATTATTGATCTGATGAGGACTCAGGATTACCTGAACCATTTCCCCGGAATGTGAAGTTATAAGGAAATTTAGACTCAGAGACAGGAAAACAGAGGGGCCCTAAGGATGGATTTGTTCACAGCAATAGATACTGCAGAGCCCTACAGGAAACCCCTCATGTGCCAGCCTCTCTCTGCACCTGCCCCTAGGGGACCAGTTGTCATCACTGCTCACAGGGAAGGAAATATAACAGCTGTACTTATGTTTATGTGGATGCGGGTGGGTTACTAGGGGGTGCTCATCCCCAGGAACCAAACCACATGCATGTGGGGCTAACAGGAGTCTGTGATGTTGTGGACATTACCAATGACAACTCTGGCTGGAGACTACTATGTGTTCCCTGGTTAGTGCAGGGACCCATTAGAAAAAGGATTCCAGGGTGCCTGGGTCTCTCAGTTGGTTAAGTGACTGCCTTCAGCTCAGGTCATGATCCCAGAGTCCCCGGGATCGAGTTCCTCATCAGGCTCCCTGCTTGGCAGGAAGTCTGCTTCTCTCTCTGATCCTACCCCCTCTTGTGGTCTCTTCCTCACTCTTTCTCTCAAATAAATAAATAAAATAAAATAAAATATTTTAAAAAAAGAAAAAGGATTCCAGAAATAAAAAGAGTAAGTGTCAACAGGTAATGTAGGTGCCTTTGAGAGTTTCCAGTATTGAACAGGCCAAGTGGAACCTACCCTCACGACCTGAGGAAGAGTCACAGACGCAAGTGGGTTTCAAATGGGGACACAGTTAACAGCAGTACCTCCAGTGACTGAGGTGCAGACCTCACGGCAATCAGTACAACACCACTCTATAAGGTGATGCTCAGACTCATATCCCATAGGCTCATCACATCCATATCTTCTGGAAAGCTGAAAAACAGCATCCTTAAATTAAAGTTTCACACTGTCTCTAGAATCGTGACTCCCTTGTGTAAAAGTTCTCCTTCTTTGTGTCCACTGTCTTTTTCAGAGTCCTAGGATACTTAACTGGTTAGTCCTATCTTAAGGATGGAACTTGTGAGAAATTCACCTTTGTCCCTGTTGGAGGAAATTAACAGGTGCTTTTCAGAACAAATGCAGCAGGGAAACACAAGAGCCTCAATGCTTGGGTTCATGTGTTTATATTGTTTTAGTCTGTCTTGACTGCTGTTAACAATGTACATAGACTGGGTGGTTTTAAACAACAGACACTCAGGGCGCCTGGGTGGCTCAGTTGGTTAAGTGACTGCCCTTGGCTCAGGTCATGATCCTGGAGTCCCAGGATCGAGTCCCACATCGGGCTCCCTGCTCAGCAGGGAGTCTGCTTCTCTCTCTGACCCTCTTCCCTCTTGTGCTCTCTATCTCTCATTCTCTCTCTCTCAAATAAATAAATAAAATCTTTAAAAAAATAAAAATAAACAACAGACACTCATTTCTCACAATTCTGGATTCTGGGAAGTCCCAGGTGAGGCGCAGACAGATTTGGTGTCTGGAGAGCACCTACATCCTAGTCTGTCCTTTCATGGTCACCTCACATGGGTTCAGGGTTCAGGGGTCAGGGAGCTTTCCAAGTCCTGGTGTATAAAGGCACTAATCCCATAATGAGGCCGCATCCTCCTGACCTCAGTGCTTCCCTAAGGCCCCACCTATTTGTCCCATTACATTGGCATTAGGTTTCTACCTAGGGATAGTAAGTAAGGTCACACACAATGAGCTGTTATCAGCAACTGAAGGATCAATTAGTTATTTCCTGCAGGTGGAAGACCCCTCCTACCCAGCATGTCTACTTGAGGATTCTCATGGATCCAGCAGATGCTATGGGTCTCAACATGCACACAGTGAACACATAACCTTCATAACCAGCTGGTGACTTTAGGGTGGGGGGACAGCTTCCACCTGAGACACTGGATAAGACCTCTGTCCACTTCTACTTTATATAATTTACCCTGCTTCTCTGTGAAATTCTTCTCATTTTCCAAGGATTAAGCCTGTTGTCTACTTAGAATGGGTATTTCTCTAATTTATTCTCCCAGTTCTCATCCTTGTTTAGTGGAATTAGCCATCACACCATATGCCTTGATTATTCCCTGCTAGCTCCTTGACCTTCATTCCTCCCTCTTCCCCTCCCAGCCTACACATGGGAAATCCAACAAAACCCCCCAAGTTCTCCCTCCTTTGATGAGGTGGGAGATTGCCTCTACACAAGCCCTTCCAATGAGCAGGAGCCAGTACCCACACTGGCCCACAACACACACCCTGAGTCAGTGTCCTTTCCTGGCCCTATGAAGCATTTATTACATGCTGAGAGGCTTGCTCTGCTCTCAAAAAACAGGGTGGCAAAGGCGATGAAGGTTTTATGTTTGTGTGTGTGTGTGTGTGTGTGTGTGTGTGTGTGTGATCATCAGACTCTACATCCACACCTTATTCTGGTGGGTTTCTCTACTTTGCCAGTCTGTCAATAATATTGATGCTGTGAGTATGTTTCAAGGGAGTGACCCACAGGTCTCTTTCTTCTCTTGGCTTGGAGTTTTGATGCCCCTGTAGCCTCATGGCCAGCATGCACTTTATGCTGCTTCTAGCAAGCTTGCACATTGATCTGGGTGGTCCTGTGATGCACAGTGAGTGCAGCTGGGACTCATGAAAATAGTCAGATGATGTGCATGGAGACATTCATTGAGATTTAGGGACAGGAACAAGCAAGTGCAGGTGACACTGACTGTTGCACTTTAGTAGAGTAGTTCTCCAACTTCTTTTTTTTTTTAAAGATTTTATTTATTTATTTGAGAGAGAGAGAATGAGACAGAGAGAGCACATGAGAGGGGGGAGGGTCAGAGGGCGAAGGAGACTCCCTGCTGAGCAGGGAGCCCAATACGGGACTCGATCCAGGGACTCCAGGATCATGACCTGAGCCGAAGGCAGTCGCCTAACCAACTGAGCCACCCAGGCGCCCCTCCAACTTCTTTTTAAGTCAGAGAGTGAAGAGGTAAGCACAGAATCATTTGTGCAAGGAGGCCCTGGGGGAAACAGCTATACTTAGAGAGGAAGCCCCAGAACCTGACAGGAAACCTGCACATAATCTCCATCTGCACCTGCTCATGGGGCTTAGAGACAGAATTGGTGAGTAGTATGCACCCCTTGGTGATCCAGATCCCCTACCACAGTGATATTTGTGTCTGGGCTCACACTGATGTCCCCTCACAGTGCCTCTTACACAGTAATACACGGCCGTGTCCTCGGCTCTCAGACTGTTCATCTGCAGATAAAGCGTGTTCTTGCCATTGTCTCTGGAGATGGTGAATCGGCCCTTCACAGAGTCTGCATACCTTGTGCTACTTCCACCATTATCATTACTTGAGACCCACTGCAGCCCCTTCCCTGGAGGCTGGCGGACCCAGCCCATGCCATAGGCACTGAAGGTGAATCCAGAGGCTGCACAGGAGAGTCTCAGGGACCCCCCAGGCTTCACCAGGTCTCCCCCAGACTCCACCAGCTGCACATCACACTGGACACCTGCAGAAACAAGGCATCCTGGTCAGGAAACTGTCACATATCTACTCTTTCTCTCACTCCTATCCATTCACATACTCAATGTCTCTTGTTCTCCATAAATTACCTTTTAAAAGAGCAACAAGGAAAACCCAGCCAAGCACAAACTCCATAGTGACTTGTCTGTGTTCTGTCCTGATCAGTGAATGGAACACCTGAGAATCCCAGGGCTGGTGCTCCTCTCTCAGCTGCAGAATCTGGGCTGGGTTGTTTTAATCAGAAGACAGAGGGCCCTATTTGCATGTATTCTGACTATATAGCAAATTTGGCAGGTAGCATCCTCAAGATGGCAGACACTCAGAGCAGTTGTGGGGGTCCTGGCATAAGTTTGTGGACATGATATCTTCCAGAATATTGTTATTTCTCATTACATGATTTTGCTGGGGTCATTACTTAGCAACCATCATATTCCTTATTTCCACATACATACCCCAGTCATGTGAGTAAGGTACCAATTTATCACCATTTACAGGTGTTACACACTACAGAACAGAGGGGTTTTCTAAATGTCCAAGGGCACACAGCAGGTGAGAGTGAGTTCCAGTGTCTGGACCTGTGCTCCCTGCCAAGGGACCTGCCTGCTTCTCTGAACCACCTCCAGGTTAAAGTTGGTCATATGTAGTGTGGTTTGCAGGCTTCCTAAGCTTCAAGATACCCAAATAAACTGAAGGTTGGAGACCACCTCTTTCTGTCTCAGAAACTTGGAGACACAGAATCCGAGTCAGAGAGTCCCAGAGCTGACAGAGATGCTGTGGGTTTTCAACAAGCACAAGGAGAATTTACACATGATCTCTCTGTACACATCTATGGAAGACCTGAATAAAAATAAAATGGTGGAATCATTAGTAAACAATGAAACTCAGAACAAGTGAGATCAGAATGGATGCTGTTACTTAGGGAAATTTTCTCATATATGAAATAGAGATCATCATATTTCTAATCTCAAAATTATTGCCATGGTCATACAGTTAAACTTTTCCAAATACCTGGCACTTCACAAATTTTTGTATTGACATATAATGATTGATTCCAAGAAAGAAAGACACTTCTGTGTTTCAACAACCTTTCCAAACCATTTACTGTGTTTGTGTTAGGAAGAATTTTGCAGAGCATGAAGCTGAAAACCCTTGAGAGGAGACCAGCCCTCAACCAACCACAATACATATCCTGAGCCACTATCGTTCACTGGCTTCTTACATTCTGGCTGTCACTTAGATCATCTGAAGTCTCTCAGCTGCTCAGTGGCACCACGTGATTTAAAAGCCTATTAGCCTATTCTAACACAGCACACTGAAGGGTAGAGACAAATTGGTTACAACCTTGAGTGAATACTTGGGAGCAAAGCTCACAAAGAGAGTGGGGTTATTTCTTGCTCATGTGTCACCACAAGCAGCAAAGTCCTGGGGAACCTGGGAGGTGGGACATGGCCAGAAGCCAGTCCTCAGGGGCCCTTTAAACACAGGTAGATGGACTTTATTCCACATCCACCCTCCATGGCCTGTGCATATGTTTTATTTCTTGTATGTGTATTTTGCCATGTTGTGAGTCATTCCTGGGCCAAAGTCTTCAGCCCTTCCAGGTGAGGTAATACTTCTTGATTTGTGTTTCCATCCTGAGTTGTGCCAGCTTTTATATCCAGTGACGGAGGTACACACCTGACAGTTTTTATGGTGGGACAATGGTGCACCATGTGGCTCACACTCAAATACCACATGGTTATCACACCCACAGTCTTCTGGCAAGGTTGAGAAAACAGCATTCTTAGTAAAGTTACACAAACTCTCAGAAATGCATGGATTCCATTGTCCAAACATCCTCCCACTGGCACTGATTGGATTATGGTCCTAGGACTCAAGAACACATCATTTATCTTCCTTTGACTTGGTCCCTGATGGGGTCATGCATTTAGAAATATTTCCAACAATGCTAGCCTTCTCCATATTACATTCACACAATGGGATAATTTTAAAATGGATTCATGGATCATAGCTACTCCTATTACCTACAGACAGGCTGCCTTTTCACTGTAATTATATGAGAGATTCCTGTGACTTTCAAATAGTAAATTCAACCTACTGGAAGAATCATCAAAGGAAAAAAAAAAAAAAAAAACCTTGAATCTCACTGAAGGAACTTATCAGGTAATTTTCACAACAAATGCAGCAGGGAAACACCAGAGCATCAGTGCTTGGGTTCATGTGTCACTAATGTCTCAGTCTGTTCCAGCTGCTGTAATGACATTCACAGACTGGGTGGTTTTAAACAACAAACACTCATTTCTCACAGTTCTGGAATCTGGGGAGTCCCAGGTCAAGGTGTAGACAGATTTGGTGTCTGGAGAGCACCCACATCCTAGAGTGTCCTTTCCCTGGCACCTCACATGGGGTCAGGGGGCCGGGAGCTTTCTCAGTCCTGGTGTATAAGGGCACTAATCCTGTCATGAGGCTGCACCCTCCTGATCTAAGTGCTTCCCAAAGGCCCCACCTACTCATCCCATCACATTGATGTTAGGTTTCAGCATGGGGATGATAGAGGTCACACACACTGAGTTGATATCAGCAACTGAAGGATCAATTAGTTATTCCCTGCGGGTGGAAATTCCTCCAATTCAGCACATCAAACTAAGGATTCTCATGGATCCCAGAGAAGCTTCTCGTCTTGTGTTTGCATGCACACAGCAAACACAAGACCTTCAGATCCAGCTGGTGACCTTTGGACTGGTCAGCTTCCACCCCAGACCCTGGGGAAGACCTCAGTCTATTTCTATAATCATATAATTTGTGGGGCTTCCATGGATCATTCTTCTCATTTTACAAGGATTCAGACCATTTTCTAATTAGAATGGCCATTTGTCTCTTTTGTTCTTCCAGCTTTCATACTTGTTTAGTGGAATTAGTCATCACACTGTATCCTTTAATTACTGTCTGCTAGCACCTGAACTTCATTCCTCCCTCTTCTCCTCCTACGCCACACACAGGAAATCTAACAATAACCCAGGGATTCACCCTTCTTTGATGCAGGTGGAAAATTGACTCCACACAAGCCCCTCCCATGAACAGGACCCCATCAAGACCATTGGCCCACAATACATATCTTGAGCCAGTATCATTCGCTGGCTCCTTACAAACATTTATAATTTGCTGAGAGACATGTGCTGTTCTCAGCAGACACTATGATGAAAGTGACAAAGTTTTTAATACTTGTGTTTGTGTGTGTGTGTGTGGTTGTGTGTGTGTATGTGTGTGTGAGTGTGAGAGTGAGAAAGAGAGAGAGAGATCTTCAGACTCTGCATCCACAGCACATCCTGGTGGGGTTTCCTCTGCTTTCCCCCGCTGTCACTAATATTGATGCTGTGAGCATGGTTCAAGACAGTGACCCCTCCAGGGGTTTTTTTCCCCTTACTTTGGATCATTGATACCTCTGTAGCTTCATGTTCAGTATGCATTTTATGCTGCCTCTAGCAGGTTTGTACATTTAGCTGGGTGGTCCTGTGATGCACAAGAATTTCCTCTGGCATTTCTGTAAGGTTCAGTGGAGGTACATGGAGATATTTGTAATTTATTCATATTTAAGGATAACAGTAAGCAAATGTAAGCAACTCTGCCTTTTGTGCATATTAGAATTGTTGTTTTCCTATTAAAACAAAGGTTCAAATCAGGGACGAATAGGTAAGCACAGAATCATGTGTACAGGGAGTCTCCCTGGGGGAAACAGCTATACATGGAGAGGAAGTCCCAGACCCTGACAGGAAACCTGCCCATTACCTCCATCTGCACTTGCTCCTTGGGCTTAAAGACAGAATTGGTGAGTAGTGAGCACCCCCTGGTGGTACAGGTCCCCTTCTACAGTGAGGTTTGTGTCTGGGCTCACACTGACGTCCCCTCACTGTCACTGGCACAGTAATACACGGCCGTGTCCTCGGCTCTCAGGCTGTTCATCTGCAGATACAGCGTGTTCTTGCCATTGTCTCTGGAGATGGTGAATCGGCCCTTCACAGAGTCTGTGTAGTATGTGCTTCTACCACTACTGCTAATACCTGCGACCCACTGTAGACCCTTCCCTGGAGCCTGGCAGACCCAGCTCATGTAGTAGCTGCTGAAGGTGAATCCAGAGGCTGCACAGGAGAGTCTCGGGGACCCCCCAGGCTTCACCAGGTCTCCCCCAGAGTCCACCAGCTGCACCTCACACTGGACACCTGCAGACACAAGACATCCTGGTCAGGAGACTGTCACACATTCACTGTTTCTCTCACTTATATCCACTCACTTGTTCTCCATGAATTACCTTTTAAAAGAGTATCAAGAAAAACCCAGCCAAGCACAGACTCCATGGTGAGTTGTCTGTGTTCTGTCCTGATCACTGGATGGGACACCTGGGAATCTCAGGGCTGGGGCTCCCCTCCCAGCTGCAGGGTCAGGGCTGGACTGATTTAACCAACAGAGGGAGGACTGTATTTGCATGTCCTCTGACTATATAGGCAAGTTCAGACATAGATTCAATTCTGTACTAGTTTAAAAAACAAAGATTGTATTATGTTTGCAGATCACTTTGATTAGATGTCACTGTGACAATATGAACACAGTTATCTTTGCATTTCTGTGTGCCTTCTTCAAATCTTTGGAAATGTAGGTCATTTCTAGTATACAGTATTTTACTTCCTTAGTGAAGTTTAATCCTAAATATTTTATTTTTGGTGCCAGTGTAAATAGAATTACTTTGTTAATTTCTTCTTTTTTGATAATTGTTATTTTGTGGAAACATAGCTTTATTTTCTATGTTGGATTTTGTGTCCTGATGTTTCCCTGAAATCATTATTTAGTTCAAAGAGGTTTTTATTTTTTTTGGTGGAATTTGTAGGGTTTGACTATGTATAAGACCATTTCATATGCAAACAAATATTTTCTCTTCCAGTCTACTGATTTTAATATATTTATTTTTTTAAATAATTTTTTATTGTTATGAATATATTTATTTTTTTATTGTCTAATTTCCATGGGTAGGTTTCCAGTTTTCAATGTAGAAAAGTTTCCCTTCTTTTCTTCTGGGTTCTTTGTTGTGTCTAATAACTCAGTTGACATAAGACAGATCTAAGTGGAAATTGAATCTCATTTTGCATGTGCATGAACTACCCAAAATATGACACCCAGAAAATGACCAAAGTAGGCAGCATTTGTGCTTCTTAGACAACAAAACACTGGATTTGTGAAACTTTAACACAGAGATTTGGGTTTGGGTTAGTAAATTAGGGAAGAACTAATAAGGTTTGTTCACACAGCCTTCTGGGCACTAAGTTCCCTATGCTGGGGCTGAGGATGGTTCTCCCCTTCTGATACAGGGAAAGGGACTTTCCTATGGGAGATTAATTTCCTGCTGTCAGGGAGACAATGGATGCTCAGCATGTCATTCCACTGGCAGGTTCTCAAGTGACTTTAGTTCATAATACCCCAGGGGCCAGATGACATATTTGGGGTGGCACATCTTATTCTCCCTCATGATACCATGTTGAATACTCATGATGGGAATAAGCATCCTTGTCTGGCTCCTGATGTGACAGGAAAGGCTTCAGGTTTTCACTGTTGCATATGGTGTCAGGTGTGGGGTTTTCATATATGAACATGATTATGTGGAGGTAATTTCCTTCTGTTCCTCGATTGCTGAGATTTTTATTTTTTTATTTTATTATGTTATGTTAGTCACCATAAAATACATCATTATTTTTTGATGTAGAGATCCACTATTCATTGTTTTGCTGAGATTTTTAACTGATAAACATGTGTTGAAATTTGTCAAAAGGTTTTGGGCATCAATGGAGAGGATTGTGTAGATCCAATCCTTCACTCAGTAATGCGGGGTGTACCATTTACTGATCTGTGTATGTTGAAGGATCCTTGCATCTGAGGGATGATTCATACTAGGTCATCATATATGATCTTTTCAATGTGCTGTTCATTCAGCATCCCAGGATTTTTGCATGTATATTCATCTCAGATATTGGCCTGCACTTTCAGTTCTTGTGGGGGCCTCGCCTGGTGTTGGTGTTGGAGTAATGCTGGCCTCATACGATGAATTTGGGCATGTTCCTTTATCATCATTTTTTTTTTGGAAAAAACTGATAAATATTGGCCTTTTTCTTATTTTTTAAAAATTTTATTATGTTATGTTACTCACCATATGATACATCATTAGTTTTTGATGTGGTGATCCACGATCCATTATTTTTGTATAACACCTAGTGCTCTATGCAGTAAGTGCCCTCCTTAATAACCATCACCGGGCTAACCCATCTCCCCTCCCCTCTAAAACCCTGTTTGTTTCTCAGAGTCCATAGTTTCTCATGGTTCATCTCTCCCTCCGATTTCACCCCTTTCATTTTTCCCTTCCTTCTCCTAATGTCCTCCATGCTATTCCTTAAGGTCCACAAATAAGTGAAACCATATGATAATTGACTTTCTCTGCTTGACTTATTTCACTTAGAATAATCTCCTCCAGTCCCATCCATGTTGATGTAAAAGTTGGGTATTCATCCTTTTGGATGGCTGAGTAATATTCCATTGTATATATGGACCACATCTTCTTTATCCATTCATCTGTTGAAGGGCATCTCGGCTCTTTCCACATTTTGGCTATTGCAGACATTGCTGCTATGAACATCGGGGTGCATATGGCCCTTCTTTTCACTACATCTGTGTCTTTGGGGTAAATATCCAGGAGTGCAATTGCTGGGTCATAGGGTAGCTCTATTTTTAATTTTTTGAGGCCCCTCCACACTGTTTTCCAAAGTGGCTGTATCAACTTGCATTCCCACCAACAGTTTCAGAGGGTTCCCTTTCTCCACAGCCTCTCCAACATTTGTTGTTTCTTTCCCTTTCTATTTTTGCCATTCTAACTGGTGTAAGGTGGTATCTCAATGTGTTTTTTATTTGAATTTCCCTGATGGCTAATGATGATGAACATTTTTTCATGTATCTGTTAGCCATTTGTATGTCTTCTTCAGAGAAGTGTCTTTTCATATCTTCTGCCCATTTTTTGACTTGATTATTTCCTTTTTGGGTGTTGAGTTTGAGAAGCTCTTTCTAGATCTTGGATATCAGCTCTTTATATATAGTGTCATTTGCAAACATCTTCTCCCATTCTGTGGGTAGCCTCTTTGTTTTATTGACTGTTTCCTTTGCTGTGCAGAAGCTTTTTATCTTAATGAAGTCCCAAAAGTTCATTTTTGCTTTTGTTTCACTAGCTTTTGGAGATGTATC